AAATGTTCCTCCTCCGTCTTCCAAAGCAGAAGGGAGAAAGTGTCCAGAAAGATAATTTGGAAAGTTTGTTTGACACTTGAGCACACTTTCATCTTCGGAAAAATCTTGGTGACCTTCCAAAGCTGCACCGCCTGCTTCCCGGCACGGCAGGCGCCCCAGGGCACACGCCCGTGGCACCATCCCAGGGGCTGCTTTCGGGATGCTCTGGGCTCTGGAGGGGACAGCGTGGTCCCGCCGGGCCCACAGGCTAGCAGGGATGCAGTCACAGGGGTGGTGGCACAGGGATGCAGGTGCAGGGAGGCAGGCAAAGGGATGCAGGTGCAGGGATGCTCCTAGGAAAGGAGGATGTACCTAGGAAAGGTAAAAAAGTGAAAAATAAATGTCTCGAGCTGGCTAGCAGCAGGGGACAGGAAGGGGCAGGGGGATGGAGGGAGCCCCTGGGTGAGGGCGGGGTTTTCTCCACAGGTGCCATGAGCCCCCAGCAGCCACGAGGGCCGGGAGGGATCTTCCCCAGTGCATCCCAGGCGATGAATGTGGGTTTGATCAGGGGAGGGTTTGAGCGGATGGTAGTGGATAAGGAAGAAAAATACTTGGCATTCCTCTCCCATCATAACAAGCCCAGATGCTTGGACGGTGGCAGCCCACTTCCCACAGGAATGGAAAGTCACAGCTGCTCTCGCGCCAGTTCGGCAGAGGCCCTTTCCCTGCGCTGAAGAAAAGCCAGCTCCACCTCACGCTGCACCACAGCCCTCGCTGGCACCCCGTGACACTGCTCCCTCCATCACCCTGGGGGTGGCACTGCCCATGATCCCGCTCCAGGAGAGCTCGGAGCAGGGAAATGTGCTGGGAAAGGCCAAGTATGGATTTACTGCTGCTGTGGCTGGTGCTCCTTGCCACATGCCAACACAGTGGGAATACCTGGACTAGCACAGCCCTGCTGATGCCGTGGGAAGCATTAATGGGAAGCAGCTCCTGTCTGGTCAGAGCTGGTGGGAGCAATTCCAGCCTCCTGGCAGCCCAACTCACCACCTCCCATGCCAGCACAGAGCCAGTGAGGTCCCTCAGTGCTGGGGTGCCATCAGCTCTCCCAGATGAGAAGGAGGGCATGAAGGTGGCTGATTTTAGTGCTGACATCGCCAAGTGCAGCCCACAGCATGCTCATGGCACATTTGCTCTTCCCTCCTCCTCCTCCTCCTCCTCCTCCTCTTCCTCCTTTTCCTTCTCCTTTTCCTCCTTCTCCTCCTCCTCCTTCAGCCATTTCTGGATTTGTGCCACCCGCCATTCCTGCTGTTCTCAGGGAACGTGGCATCCCAAGAGGCTCAAGATTTGCCACAAATCACATCCTTCATCCCAGAGCGAGCTCTGGAGCTCCATCTCTCCTCTTGGCTCCTCTGGCTTGCTCCAGTCTTGGACACCAGCGTGGCTGCACAGCCTTCAAGTGCTCCAGCTGCCAAAACAGGAGCAAAGCCCAAAGAGGGAATTGGCATCAAGTGGCACTGAAGGCCAAGGGGCAGCGAGAGTAGGAGAGAGAGCCAGGAGGAAAGGGAAGACGAGCAGTGAGACGGGAGGGAAGACTTGGTGTGGAAACTGAATTCCTGGTCCATGTCAGCAGAGCAGATTTCCAGTGTTTATTTTATCTCTTTACTTGAGCCCCTTTGAGGCAGAATATATTAAATGGCCTGACTTTATATAATGGAAATAATTGAAACAATACTCCTGCTTCCAGCCGCAACGTGCCGTGATTTCATCCAAGAGTGGCCAGCCTGCTCGAGGTGGTGGGGACAGCCGCCGCCGGCAGCGCTTGTTCACTGGTTATTGTTGACACATGTCAGCGTCGCCTTCCAATTTCCGTCCAGCTGTCAGAGC